GAAATGAATATATGAAGAAAAGGGAGGTTTTGAAAAGTTTCTGATAAACAAGAATGCAATCTGTGCAGAGTACGACATTTGAATACAGATAACAAAAATAGAATACCAAGTTCTCAGACAGAATGATCAGTAGAATGTTTTAGAGAATCCATGCCTGTAACGTGAAGCAAGAAAAACATAGATAGCCTAAATTTGCGGGACATGAAAATAAATGAGTAAAAAATACAAAAAATCCCCGAAATCATTTCTATCACTGATGAAAGAAGCAAACTTTACCCATGGCCCAAATGCAGATATTGAAAGTTACACTTTCTTTGTTGTTGTTTTCCCTCTAAATCTCAACACGAGAATGAAATTATGTTCCTCGTCATTCTGAAAAGAAATAATCCAGGAACAAGGCCAAAGAAGAATTTATGCAAATTGATAAAACAGAAACAGTGCACAAAGGATGAAATCAACAAAAAAGTGACGATCAGAGTGATATGAATCAAATTTGAATTACCAATATTTGATGTCCGAAACGACTCAGAGGTCAAAATTGCTCCTCGGCATCACATTCTTGGTTCATGGATCATTTGCAACTCCATTTACCACAAGAAACGCAGAGTTATCTCACTCTAGTTTCAATAGAAACGGTTGGCAGAAAAACATAAAAGGAAAAACAAAAAATGGAAAGTAAAAATAATAAATGGACGGTTCAGAATATTTAATATCCTTAAAACAAACACCAAACAGCCAGATTGACAACACAAATGTTGTTTGCTTGCACATCCTCTAACATGTTTCCCAAAAGTCATGCGTTTCATAGTTTCCTATGATTCTCTTCTGTCCATTCCTCTTAAACACGCTCTTGCTGTTTGGTGACCATGAAATTCGCATGAGAACAGCACAGAGTAAATAATTTCAATACATCATGAGCTTACAATGCAAGTATATACATATTATAGAAAGTGAATTTAGATTTAACTTACCTCTGTTAAATCATCTTGGTTTTAGTATTATCTCACACAGTTGTGTTTTTCTGTAAGATTTTTTCTTTCTTTTCCTTGAATGTGATGCTTTGCACTGAATAATGATGATGGTTTTTCATTTCAAAATTAGAAAATTTTGTTACTTAGAATTTGTTTGAGGCATTAATTAACCTTCCATTATACTTTCTTTGAAGGGTGAGGGTTTCAACTTTCATTCAATGGGTTTGACTCTCTCTTCTGCTCTGTCATCAACCATACTTATTATTATTATTTTCTTGTTTTAGAAGAAACATAAAATAGTATTTTGTTTTGAATTAAGACACAATACAGTGTTTTTCAAAATTCAGAGGAGATTTAACCATCATTTTATTTTCCTAAAATGTCAAAATAAATATAATTATTTATTGTAAAATTAATAAATATTCAAATTACTGGTAAATATTTAAATAGACGATTAATTACAATGAAAAAATGCTGGTTTGATTATAATAAAAAAAATTAATATTTTATAAAATATATGACTTTCTCCAAGTAGTTATAGTAATCAAATAATCATATTAAGTATTTCTTTATGTTGTCATTAAATCACTGTACAAAATAATAAACGTATATGATACGAAGATTGATTTCACGTTTATTAGTCAACAAGACACTATAAACAAGTCCACATTTGATTATTTTTAATTTATATATTTGGTGATATCATTATCAATCCCACATTGATTATTTTTTATTTTATTCATTCACTTAATTTCTAAAAATATATAACATGAAAAGTGATGTTAGTTCTATCGAGGAGGAGGTTTTCTGTGAGTTACACAAACATTAATAATATTTGAGTCAATTATATAAGGGATCGACACGTACCTAAAACTTTATAAATGAAACAATCTTTTAATACCATTTAAAATAATTTAGTTTAATGATAGTTTTGGTCTCTTATAATTTTACTTTCCATCTTTTTCATAATATAATACGAGTAGAAAATAGTTTTTTTTTAATTTTTTAAAAATATTTTGAACATATTTAAGTAGTTGTCAAAACGATAATAAATTTTCTTCAATTAAATATAATTTATATTTATTATTACGGCAGGAACATTGAAAACAAAAATGAATAATATTATAACATACCTTCCTATTGTCTGGTAACATCAAAATCTTTTGTTTGGACATTCGGATACAATATTTCTAAAATCCAAACATGTGAAACAATTTCTTCGTTTGTCTTTCTTGAAATTTGAAGTAATTCTTAGAAGGATAAGAGGATCTTAATCAACTAAAGAGGTGTTAGAAAAACCAATAACCAATGGATGATCATAGAAATGTAGCAAAAGCATCAAACCATGGTGTGACTTTTAAGAAACAAAGTTGAACAAAAAATAAGTAGTATGAAACCGTGGTGTGGATTAAAGAAAGGAATATGAACTTTTAAAATGGAATCATAAATGATAAGTGCAACGAGAAGTTACCACTTGAAGGAGTTTCCCGAGATTGCAACCAAAACAAAAGAACACTTTTAAGAAGTTATCTCACGAATTAAAGTATATTTTATAAGAGGTTTCAAATGTTATTTAGAGTAGAGTGGTGCAATCAAAATAAGAGAAGGAAATAGTTTAAAAATGGTTATTAGATATATTATCTTTATCTTTTATTATTATTGATGATTATTTTATATGTACTTGACTATTTTTAATGAAAAAGCGTTCTGATTTATTGTATATTTTTCAAACTTTTTATAATTAAATTAAAACTCAGTTTGATGTTTCTATTCAAACTTTATACAGTGATCATGGTCGTGAATATCTTTTCCATTCTTTTAAACAATTTATAGCTTCTCATGGTATTCTCTATCAAATTTTATGTGTTTATACAACTTAACAAAATGGGGTGGCTGAGTGTAAAAATAATCATCTTATTGAAACAACTTGCACTCTTTTAATTCATGGTAAATTCCTCAATATTTTTGGGATGATGTTATTCTTACTACATGTTATTTCATTAATCGCATGCCCTTTTCTGTTTTAGATAATAAAATTCGTCATTATATTTTATTTCCTCATGAACCCCTTTACCCATTACCTTTAAAAGTTTTTGGGTCTATATGTTTTGTTCATAATTTTAGTCCTGATCTTGATAAGTTAGCTCATTGATCACACAAATGTATTTTTTTAGGCTTTATTATATCAAAGAAAGGATACAAGTGTTTTTCTCCTTCTCTTAATCCCTATTTTATATTTGTAGATGTCACCTTCAATGAATCTTCCTTTTATTTTAACGATTATTCTTCTTTTGATATGTATCCTTCTAATACTATCAATATTCCTATTATTTGTGATCCTCCAATTGTGCCTAGTCCACTAGGTGTTTCTCAACAACCACTAAGTGACTCAATTCAAAAGCCAATTATCTTGTCTCCTTTGGCTTTGGCAATTAAGTCTACCCTTCCAAATACCCTCCAAAAAAGGTATACGTTCTTGTAGTCCTTCTCCACATTATATTGCTTTAAGTTATAATAGATTGTCTTCACCTTTTTATACATGCCTTTCATCTATTTCTTCTGTGACCATCAAAAATCTATTACTGATGCCTTAGTCCATCATGGTTGGCGTTAGACCATGCTAGACGAACTAAGTGTTTTTCAAAATAGTGGAACTTGGGAGCTTGTCCCAATACCGTTTGGAAAATCTGTTGTTGGTTGTAGGTGAGTTTTTCCTATCAAAGTTGGTCATGATGAAACTATTGATCGCCTCAAAGCTCGTCTTGTGGCCAAAGGTTACACACCAATGTTTGGGTTGGATTATGGTAATATTTTTTCTACAGTGACAAAGACGACATATGTTCGTTTGTTTATGATCATGGTGACTCTTCAACAATGATCTCTTTATCAATTAGATACAAAAAATGTATTTCTTAATGGAGATTTGAAAGAAGAGGTTTATATGGAGCAACCTTCGGGATTTATTGCTCAGGACAATCTTTTGGGTTGGTATGTCGTCTTCACAAATTCTTATATGGCCTAAAACAATCTCCTAGAGCCTAGTTTGGAAAATTTAGTAACGTTGTTCAACAATTTGGTATGACTCGGTGTGAAGCGGATCATTCAACCTTTTATTGTTACTCGTGTGTTGGATGTGTCTACTTAATAGTGTATGTTGATGACATTGTTCTTATGGGAAGTGACAATCATGGTATCTCTTAGATGAAACAACATCTTTGCAACCATTTTAAGACCAAAGATCTTGTCAAACTTAGATACTTCTTGGGTATTGAGGTGACATAATCCAACGATGTATTGTTATATGCATAGGATATTTTGGACAAAACTAGGTTGATGAATTCAAAATTTGTGGACACACCCATGGATCCTAATACTAAATTTCCACCAAAACAGGGGAGTCTATGTCAGACCCCAAGAAATATAAAAGACTAGTTAGAAAATTGAATTATCTCACAATTACTTGTTCTTACATTTCCTTTATCACTTAGTGAACTAGACATAAAATGGTTCCAAACCTGTGGTGAAAAGTGGTGCTCAATGGTACCCTGTCACTACTCAACACCAAATCATTCGCAAAATGGTTACTTAGCGCTAAAAGTTGGCGCTCAACGGTCTAGAGAAAAATTGCTTCTAGACTTCCACAAACTAGCTTACATTTAACACTACACATGCACCACTTAACGCCATATCAGGAACTTGCACATTCAAATATGTGATTTAGGAAAACTAGGGACTTGTTAGTATATGCTTCTACAAACAATAAAAACACGATCAATGCACACCATTAGGACAACTAATCAACAAAGACTCTTATAGAAGACCCATACGTCACATGCAACCACAAAAGGCTCGCATGGAAAGGAAGAATAAAACATACCAAAAAGTGGAGCAGAAAACCAACTTTCTATATCTGAGAAACTGATCGAATGGAGTGGAGAGCCTGCCTGAAAGATTACTTCGGTGGTCTTTAATCATTAAACCAACAAGCAGAGAAGGAAAACCTTTAGAGAACTTTTAGAGAACTCTAGAGAAATGGTTTGTAGAGAGATTATGTGTTTTAAGATAATGAAACTCGTTCATAACAAAACTATTTATATTAAAACCTTTTAATATGAACATAGAAACACGATCATTGCACACTATTAAGACCACTAATTAACAGAGAATCTTATAAAAGACTCAAATATCACATGCAACGACATAAAGTTCGCATGGAAAGGAAGAATAAAACAAACCAAAAAGTGGAGGAGAAAACCAAGTTACTCTATTTGAGAAACTGGTCGGAGGAAAGTAGAGGGTCTGCCTAAAAGATTACTCTAATGATCTATAATCTTCAAATAACGAGCAAAGAGGAAAAACCTTTATAAAGCCGTGAGAGAACTCTAAAAAAAATAATTTTTAAAGGAACAATGTGTTTTAAAATAATGAAACTCTTTCTTAACAAAACTCTTTATATTAAAATCTTTAATATTAAAATAATTAAGTCATTTTTTAAACTACTATCACTTCTAAAAATGTCATTTTTTAAATCTTTCCAAGAAATTCTATATATATATATATATATATATATATATATATATATGATAATATAGATTAATAAAAATAGATACATACATGTGTTTTTATTGTAGCAAAAGTTCATTACATTATAAAATAATTTTATACGTATATTTTTTAATTATATAAATCATTTTTTAAATTTAGAAAACATAATTAAAATATTTTTTTATTATGAGTAATTATTTAAATTTTAAAAGCTAATTAATAAAAAGTAAAATTTAAAAAGAAAATATAGAAAACAAAAATTGAATAAATGAAGTATATAGATAGTATAGACCACTGGTAAGGTAAATGCATTTTCACAGCAGTTGCCCTCCCTTGAAGTTTCGCTTCCCATTGTAAACACAACGGCATATGGTGCAAGCGACCGAGGTCTGGCCCAAGTTCCCGCGTTGTTAGAATAGAAGGGCAATGTCGGAGAGCAACCACAAGGAAATCCAAATCCGTGCCCTAACCGGCGAATCAATCACTCTTCTCGTCACTCCCACCACAACCCTCCACCACCTGAAGCTTCTCCTCCGCCATTCATTCCCCCCCGCCACCACCTCCCCCAATTTCCACCTCTTTTTCAAGGCACCACCACACTATTTCCCTCCTCCCTTTTCTCTTTCCCCGACTGTCGCTCTTACTTTTCTTTTCTAGAATCAGTGATTACTAACTAACTAACTAACACATTGCTTGTTTCAGGGTGAAAAATTGCGATTGCAGACTCCAATTGCCTCTTACCCCATCCAAAGCGACGAGTTTATCGTCCTCATTCCCTTCACCAAGAAGGAAAAGGAACCTTCTAGAACATCCGACTCTCTTCAGCCTAATGTTCCTCACACTACCAATGCTTCAAGTTCGACCTCTGATCTCGCGGATTCTACGTGGGCCTCCATAAAGGAGGATTTATCACTTTTACGTGAGAGTAATGCGTCTAATTCCGAGTCAGGAAAAGAAAAACCGTTGGAGGCCTCGACCGAAGGGGGTTTAGGTCGTGAGAAGCAGATGGAGCTTCCCTATCATCTTATACTGAACACATTGCGAGATGGTAGCGAGGCTGGTCCTCTTAGCGAGCACAATTGCGAGGTTTTCGTGAAGGTTTTGGAATCCGTGAATTGTTTATCGGAACTGCCTCTCGGACACTGCAAGTTGCTGAAACGAGCTCGTTCGAAAGGAGGTGGTGGAGGTGGCGGCGGCGCCCTGAGAAAACGTGTCAGTGACGGTGTTGTATGTTTGTGTCCACCGTGGTTGAAGATAGCGGTGAAGGCGTTTGCATTTGTGAACATTTTTTCCGCGTTTATTTATTTGCAACTTCGAGATTTGACCTCGAGTCTTCTGGAGGAGGCGCTTAGTGAGCTTGCTAAGTTTGGGGTTAAACTTGGCCTCGGTGACATCAAGAATCTTTCGCTTCTCTGTCCTCATGTAAATTGATTGATTTTGTTTCTCCTTTTTAGTTTTGTGATTGTATTTCGTAGTTCGTTGTTGTTCATGTTGTGGTGACGTTGTAGGAATAGCGATTGTTCCTTAAAGTGACTATTCGGTGTTCAATGCATTGTTTTTATTATGCTTTGTATGCAACAAGGAAATGGTTACGGTATGTTGCACTTTCCTGCTCTTAATTGTGGATTGAATTCTTTGCAGATGGTATGTTTCAGGGATGATGTAGAGAAGACAAGTTTTGGTGATAACATTGTTGTCCTTAATCATTCAACAGGCAATAAAGATCTAGTTGAAGAAAATCCTAAAAGAGGTATACTGAAGATGTGGACTGTTGTTTTGTTGCTTTTATTTTCTGATATTCTTCTATTTCATCAGAATAACATTTTTTTTTTCAATTTTGCTTGACATGTCTTGTTTAATTAGTTCGCAAGTGGTTGTATATTTCAAAGACTGTCAGTACATTGAAGAGAAGGGACAGTTCTTTCCGTAAATTTCTAGGATGGGCTTTTGAACAGTTGCCGGTATGTCTCTGTTACATTATTCTTCACAAATGAGCCACCGTGGACCCAATTATGTTTAGTGAAAGTTGCTATAATAGATAGAAATTTTCTCCTGGAACCAAACTTTGATTGTATAAGTATCATAGAATTTGCATTGTATCCTATACATCCACCTGTGTATACTTTGACTGATATTTCGCTTAGTAGTGTGGAACTCTTTTTCCCAATCTAAATTCACAAATTACACTCACAAATTGTTGGCTTGTTTAACAGGGCATTATGTTAGGATTATGTTAGAATGGTTATAATTCATAAAGTGCTAGTTATTAGGTAGGTAGGTAAGGATGCAGCTTTCTTTGTTGAAGGAATTGATGCAGTAAAAATGATATATATAGACAGTGACTAAAATGCTAAGAGTTTGGGAAGAGAAGTAGGTTAGATTCAAAGGGAACCATAAAAGGAGGGGTTTTGGTGAGTATAAACCTTTCAATTTACAACTGTAGCATGATGACCAAAGATGATAAATAAAGGTTTCTAGGATTGTATATGCTTGATTTATACACTTTGTGTAGCTCAATATTTCAGAGTCTCTATAGGGTCAGGTCAGGTTGTTTAAACTTAAAATGAACGTTCCATCTTTAAAATAATCACTTACTTAAGAAGTAGATAGGACTTGCTTATTATAAAAGCATAAAGCTGTTTATTTTTAAAACAGGCAGATTAGACAAACACAAAAACGTAAATTTGCATAACTTTTATTAAAAAAGTCTTTTATTTTTCAAAAATATAAGTACAAAGTAATTCACCCATAATCTGGAGTCTAAGCCTTATTGAAAAGTCACATGCTAGTTGTGTGACATAGTAAGAATAAAAAGCACTTTAAAGTCAAAATAAAACAGAACTGAAATTGTAAATGAACATTTTTAAGTTGCTCCTGCATGAGGCACAATGCATCAGTAGTATTGAAGATGCTGAAAAATGTGCATTCTTATTTGCAGTATGAATTTGGAGATGAGATGACTGTGGGGATTTCCTTGGAAGAGTTGCGTGTTGCAGTCAAGGACAATGCTTTTGTCAAAAAAGAAGACAAATCCAAACGTGTAAAGAGAAGCAAAACTACCTCAAAATCTGACTTAAACCATATTGGGTGTCATGTACGCATTAATCCATTTTACATATTTATTTTTAACTTCTAGTCTTCTGCGTATATCCAAAATTTACCTGATGCAAGGAGATAACTATAGATAGAAATAGAGGATAACAAAACGCCTGTTTTCATGTGTCCAAAGAAAAAAATTTACTGTTTAAAAGGTTCATTTGGTGTGTGTCTGAAGCTGAAATTTTCAATAGAATTTTGGTTTGAATTTTAAAGAGATGGTTACTAGCAATTATTGCATCATGAAATATATTGATGAAAAAGATGTTTATATATTGCTGAAAATTCTACAATTAGGGTAGATCATATAGCAGTGTGGTGCTTTACATTACTTGTTCTCTTTTGGCAGGACACAAAGTCATTAATGGCTGTGGAGATGATTGATCATCTTAAGAAAGGAATTGGATAAGAAGGGCAGGTCTTTGCTATTTTGTTGCAATAGTTTTTTGGGCTTTTGGAACTATAACATGAAATCTTCAAACCATGATTTGCATATTGACAACAGCAATATCAAATACTCAACAATAATATTTATTGATAAATTTAATGTTCGTTTTTCGCTCATGAATATGTACGGTGTCGTTTGGCAATTGGAAAGGTTTCCCAGGAATGGATTTTAGCCAAGTTTCCCACAAACACATTCCTATAGGAGAGGTGGAAAACTAACTTTCCTGAGTTAAAATAAATTTTTTACTGGAAAACTTACCATGTTACTTTCATTAAGTCATTTAAAGTGTTAAAAAACTTAAAGATTTTGATAAAAATAATTCATTACGTTTTGATTTCAAAAAATCTTCTGTAAATATTCCTAGGAAATACTTTTCACCTACCAAACAATATTTAGTAATTCCAGGGAATCTTAATTCTCAGGATTCATGAATCATGATTCTGGGGTATGGAAAAAAAATTCCTTCTACCCAACAATTCGTACTAGTGCTGAAGGCTGCATTATGAATGTTTGGTTAATGCAGATTGTGCATATTGAAGACATATGTGCCAGGAAAGCAATTTACAGCGAGATCCCTATTGATCTATCAGAGAAAATGAGATCTGCACTGAAGTGTATTGGAGTTTCCAAATTTTACAGTCACCAGGTACAAAATGAATATTTGGAACTGCATTTTCCAAACTAATAGTTTCTCACTCAATCAAAATTTTCTGCTGTGTGGTTTACATAGGCAGAGTCTATACAAGCTTCTCTTCATGGTGAAAATGTTGTTGTGGCTACAATGACATCAAGTGGCAAATCCCTTTGCTATAATCTACCAGTTCTAGAAGTTTTGTCTACAAATTCATCTTCATGTGCTTTGTACATATTTCCCACGAAGGTTGTTGCAGTCTATCATTTATTTCTGAATTCTAAAGTCTAAATGCCTCCACATAATCATAATATCTCTTTTTCTGTTCTGTGGGGATTGTTGTTTAGATAGGTAAAATATTTTATTATGCAGGCATTAGCTCAAGATCAACTAAGAGCTTTGTTACACATGACAAAAGGATTTGATAATGACTTTAATATTGGTATATATGATGGTGATACTTCTCAGAGTGAGAGGGTGTGGCTCCGTGATAATTCTAGATTGGTAATTTATTAACTAATTTTTCCTCTGGACCAAGCAGATTCCAATAAAATGTCCTCATTTGATATTATACCGATGCAGTTGATCACAAATCCAGATATGTTACACATATCAATCTTACCCCATCATCAACAGTTTAGTCGAATTTTATCAAACCTAAGGTATATTGGTTTGGTATATGATCAACCATATTGGTTTGGTATTTGTATGGAATATTTTCTAATGGATTGTTATTGTGTTTTGGTTTATTCTATCTTAATCAATTAGGTTTGTGGTAATTGATGAAACTCATACTTACAAGGGAGCGTTTGGAAGTCACACCGCCCTTATTTTGAGGAGGCTAAAACGACTCTGTTCACATGGTTTAGAGCTTTGCAAAACATTTCCTTATAAACTTGTGTATTTAAATTTTAAAGGGAACTGTGAGTCAACAATTTGGTTCTACTTGCAGTATATGGATCTGTTCCTTCTTTCGTTTTTTCTACTGCAACTTCTGCAAATCCCCGGGAGCATTCTATGGTAAATAATTCTTGGAAGTAGTTACACTTTTATACACTTGGTTTTACATATTTCTTTAGCATGTTGTCAGTCAGACGGACCTGACTTTTTTTAATGCATGCATGTTTTACTTTGTATTTTTTTTTTTAGAATTCTATGGTTATTTGATATTCTTCTCGGAATTGCTTTACTTCCATACTTTGATTAAGCCATGAATTGTCTGTGTCCTAGGAACTTGCAAATTTATCTACGCTGGAGCTATTTCAGAATGATGGAAGTCCATCTACAAGGAAACTTTTTGTCCTTTGGAACCCTGCTCTGAGTCCAAAATCTGTAAGTTGAAATTTTATGTATTTATGAAGTTGAATAGTTCTTATATTGTTAACCAAAGACATATATCTATGAGATAAATTATGTTGCTACATGACTACAGTTCATTAAAAAAGCTCAGTTTGCTATGGGAACTGATGAGTTGGCTGATGAAAGTGCTAATTTTGTTCGTTCAAGGTGATAATCCTTATATGTAAGGAAAAAACTTTGCAACTATTGCTTTTGATGTATGCAACCTTATGCTTAGTTGAGCTGCATGCTTTAAGCACTGCTAATGCAGTTTTAGCTTGAGTAATGTGTTATTATAATTGTATGGATGGATTCCCTAGAATGATTTGTACCTCCTATATCTTACCACATGCAACGGCCTATTGGGCTTAAGGCATGCTCTTAGGATTGTCTGCCCTTGGACTGATATTTAATTTAATTAAGAAAATTGAAGAATGATATTTAATTCCATTACCATGTTCATCATAAACATTCCTTGAAGCTTAAGCTGTTATGTGAAAGCCTTGCAATTGCTTTATACCTAACTGGAAAAAGTGGCCAAGGCATAGAGCAGAGAGAAACAGTTCAATTCAATCTCAATTTAATAAAATGTCGAACTGATAGAACTTTCTGGTGGGAAACAAATGATAGGAACCCGACACCTGTCCATGCTCTGGACAAGTTTAGTGTATTAGTAGACATCACAAAAGAGGAATAATTTTTTTAAATATATATTTTTGTGTTTGAGATTTAACAAAGCAACATATTCAGATTTATAGTAGTAAACAATTAGAGTTCCCTATAATTTGCAATTTTCTTCATATTAGATTTAATGTATACCAATAAAGCAACTCAACGTGCTGTATAAAATGAAGAGTCTTGAATATTTAATATTTTTATGATTTGTATAAATATTAGGCTTTGCAGTATTCTAAAGTATCTTTAATTTGAATGCTTTTTGTGTGTCCTCTTGGTTTTCTTTGCAGCCCAATTGTGGATGCTTCACGTCTTTTTGCAGAAATGGTTCAGCATGGTCTTCGCTGTATTGCATTTTGTAAATCAAGGAAACTTTGTGAGCTTGTTTTATCCTACACGTATGTCAAATCAATTTCATGTTCTTGTGTAGTTTAGTATAATCAATATTGTGACTTGATAATTTACTTTTCTTACATTATGATTTTGTTATTTAATATCTGTTTCCATATTAAAGTTAATGGTTATTTAAGGTTTTAAAGGCAGATGCTCATGCAATTTGAATTGCTGTAAATGACAGCCGTGAGATTCTTCATGAGACAGCCCCGCATCTGGTTGATTCCATATGTGCATATCGGGGTGGCTACATTGCAGAGGTCTCATATTTTTTTCTGGTTTGAAATCATATCAAAACATAGATTTGGTGAAGATAAAATGATGATATTTACATGTTGGAAAATATAAGATGAAGAACAAAAGTTAGACATAAGCTGCTACTGAAATTTTGGTTATTTGATAGAGCCTATCGCTTGAGTTATTGAGTCTAACTGCGTCTGACTATTTGGACTTGCTTCTTGTTGTTGAAAGGATTTCTACCTTTTTACACTATCAGCTTGTTATTGTATCTTTCGTTCTTGGTTACAGTTTATTTTATATTTTTTGATTTGAAACTTATTATTGTTTATTAGATTCTATATTTACCATTAGTTCTATTTATTTATATATATGTATGTATATATGTATGTATATATGTATGTATATATGTATGTATATATAGAGAGAAGTAGCACTAATGAAGTTTTGTTGAAAAGTAGTGAACCTCTCTACGTACATATGATTCTTTTTTTGGTCCATTTCTCATTTTGATTTATTTGCAGGCTAACTCTTGTTTTTCTTAATTAATGGGCTGATGATTTTTTGGACATCATATGGTTCTCCTAGACTCAGTACTGGTTGCTGCACATTGACAGGAAAGAAGAAAAATAGAGAGTTCATTTTTTGGTGGTAAAATATGTGGTGTTGCTGCAACTAATGCTCTTGAGTTGGGCATTGATGTTGGAGAAATTGATGCCACTCTGCATCTAGGATTTCCTGGTAGTATCGCAAGGTATTTGCCCAGTTGTTTTAACATGCATGACTTATTAAACATATTTAATAGCTTTATATGTGTGGATTTATGTACTTTAAATCAATTACACTTTTAGCTTATGGCAACAAGCTGGTAGAGGTGGGAGGAGAGATAAACCATCGCTTGCTGTCTATGTTGCATTTGGGGGACCTCTTGATCAATACTTCATGAGACATCCCAATAAACTTTTTGGAAGACCAATTGAATGTTGTCATGTTGATTCTCAAAACAAAAAGGTTCTTTAACTTTGGCCTATTCCTTTTTTGGATCTACTATTTTTGAGTTTGAACAAATGGAAGTTTATGCTAATTATGGCAGACTTTGTTCAGATTCTTGAGCAACATTTGGTCTGTGCTGCTCATGAACACCCTCTATGTGTGAACTACGATGAACAATATTTTGGTCCTTGCTTGGAGAGTGTTATAATTTCTCTAAAAGCTGCAGGATACTTGAGTTCTATTCTATCATCTGATTCTTCTAGAATATGGAACTACATTGGTCCCGAGGTTGTGATTTATTTTTTGAAAAAATTAGGCTTCATGTCTGTCTTTTCTAGTTGATTAATAATTTTTGAGCTCTATACAATATTTGCAGATTCTAAGATTACTATTTTTTCTTGTTTGTCTGTGGTTCCTTCTATGTTCCAGAAATTACCCTCACATGCAGTCAATATCCGAGCAATAGAAACTGTAAGATACAGTGTCATAGATCAGAAAAAAAATAAAGTCCTTGAAGAGATAGAGGAAAGCAAGGCATTCTTTCAGGTTGTGACTTTTACTTCCTAGATGAAAAGAGTAATTTGGCTTATTTTTCTTATCTATGTCTCATTAAGTGTATATAACTTGATTCAGGTATATGAAGGTGCTGTGTACATGTGCCAGGGGAAAACCTATTTGGTTGAAAAATTAGATCTGTCTAATAAAACTGCTTTCTGCAAAGAGGCTGATCTAAAGTATTATACAAAGACTCGAGATTACACTGATATTCATGTCATTGGGGGTAATGTTGTATGTATTCTCCTGCTTGCTCGAGATCCTTTGGATTATCTTCATGAATTTTATAGTGTACGACTATTGTTAATATTTGGACATTATTGATTCTTGTTCTTTAGACTTGTGTTGTGCTAGATCATGTTCACTGATTCTTTAGAAAATCATGATTACTGTTTACTTCTTTCTCTGGCCTGACTGCATCAAGTAAGAACTAGATGTATCTAATTTCAGCAAAGTAAAAACCTACAAGCTTAACAAGCTTAATGTACTGTTAAATCATGTAGAGTAATATATACTTTACATAATTCCAGAAATTAGGAACTGGGATATTTAGGTCTTTCAAAGGTCATGTGTCTTGCAGGCTTATCCGCTCAAAGTAGAAACGAACAACTTTCCAAAATCAAATGCCCGGGCTGATATATGCAAAGTAACAACTACTTGGTTTGGCTTTTATCGTATTTGGAGAGGAAGCAATCAAATCTTTGATGCTGTTGACCTCGCACTTCCTCATTACTCATACGAGTCACAGGTAATTTGAGCACTTTTAGGTGTTTTGTTTAATGACTTTAATAATTCTCGTGTGGCATGTGTTTGTTTTGACATCAATATGTTCTATGCCTCTAAGTAGGCAGTTTGGGTTCCTGTGCCACTGTCTATAAAAGAAGCAGTAGTCAAGCAAACTTATGATTTCCGTGGAGGTCTGCATGCTGCTTCACATGCAATTTTACACGTAGTGCCTTTGTAAGTTTCTTGTGTTAATCTTTAAGCTTTGGCATCAGCATGATATACAGTAGTCCTATTCTTTTCATCCAAGTTCTGCGTACCGTTAATCATGAACTTTGTTGTATGTGGCAGATTATGCTGAGCTCTATTTTATTTGTTTTTGTTTTAAATATCGTATATTTAGAATTATATCATTTTCCTTCTCACCCATTCACATAAATTACCATTAACAATACTATCATTGATAGAGTCAGTCACACCAACTATCCTGGGTTTATTGTCCTCAATTACACTCAGCTCATCACTTTTTCATACAATGATCTCCATTTATCTTTCACCTGTATGTAAAGCTACAATGGGGATTTTTCTTATTGACAATGCTAAACAAGGTGTTTGACAATCATGGGAAGTTAGTGTAATTTTTGAAAGAAATAAAGACAGGTGTAATTTGAACCAAATCTAAAGATGTTCTTTGTTATTACTAATATTATTTCAGCAGATATAGAAGTTTTGTAAAAGTTCTCAACAAATGCTCCCAATCTTTTGAAATCTGTCTGGAAATATATAAAACTATTGGTAAAGGAGTTCTTATCATTTTAGTGCCACTTTTCATCTTAGCAAGTTGTTTGTTGATCATTAATTGCCCCTTGAGTTTGCTCATAAAAGATAATTATTATATAATTGATTGTCAATTTCTATTTAGATGCTTGCCATTTTTGAGTTTGTTTATCTATGTTTTTGAAGGAATGACGTGGCTATGAATTTCTCTTAATTGAGATGTTGGAGTTTACTTTTTTTGCACTCTGGACCCTGTATTAGTGAAACTTAACATGGAAAGTGAAAATTTGCTAGTCTGGCATATCAAGACATTAAAACCTTTTCCTCTTTCTACTGCATGACACTGTTACAATTTTTCGTCCCGTGTAATTCCTATTAATTTATGTGTAATATTATTACATGCATTTGCTTGCAGACACATCACTTGCAACTTGTCTGACTTGGCTCCTGAATGTCCAAACCCTCATGATGCCCGATTTTACCCCGAAAGAATTCTAATATATGATCAACATCCCGGAGGATGTGGAATTTCAGTGCGGGTGAATAACTTGAGCTGTCTAACCATTTAGATGATATTTAACTTGCGCTATATTTTCATCAGTACTTATCTGAAGCCTGATATTTTCAACAATACCTTTCTGTTCTGGTTTTGGTTATTAAACTATCCTGTTTTAATAGATTTGTCGTACTACTTTCTGGTTTAACAATTTTCCCAAGTACCAATCAATGAGCAGACTTTCACCTCATGATATTTTTGGAATTTTGTACAGGTTCAACCCTATTTTACAAAGTTCCTGGAAGCCGCACTAGAGCTTCTCACATGTTGCTGCTGCTCAGCGGAAGCGGGTTGCCCTAATTGTGTTCAGGTCTGGATCGTTTTTACTTTTCAATGATTAGTTCGACATTTTTTTTTTCAATTTGCTCCTGTTAGCTATTTTTGGTCAGAAAAAAATTATTTGACCGTTTATTGATATTTCTTTTTAAATTGCATCCTAATTTGGCATCTAGTGTTCCTAAAGTTTTTTGCATATTGTAGAGCTTTGTTTGCCATGAATATAACGAGGTTTTGCACAAGGATGCAGCCATCATGATCATAAAGGTTACTTGATTGAACTTCATGGCATGATTTAAGTGGATAATTACATTCCAATTTCCACCTTGATGATTGGGGAAAGTTGTCCTTTCAGGGTATTCTGGATGCGGGAAACTAGTAATTCAAAACATGTGCTTGGCTAATTTGAAGGCATGTTAAGGAAAAAGCACCAATGCAGTTTTCGTCTATATAAAGTTTTACTCTTCAATTTTAGTGAATTAGGATTACAAAGCACTATAAATTAAAGGCGCACATGCCTTTATTTGCTTTAAGCTAATTTTTCTTTAGAACTTGTTCTTATTGTCTGGTTAGTCAGGAAAGTTGAATGATAAAATAAATTGCATTGAATGTGAAATGTTAAGAAACAAATAAAGTGCCTATTTCAAATGTTTTAAGAAAAATGTTAGCTCCTAAAAATATTAAACAATTATAAAATTTAATTTAGGTATGATTGAAATTTGCTCTTACTGGATTCATTATAACATATTTCATTGAACTATAAAATAATGACAATGCTTTATGACATTTTGTTTATATATATATATATATAATTATATATATAGATATATTATATATATATATAGTTTGAGGTGTTGTTATTCGAAGTAAATATAAAAAATATATAACAAATATAAACTAAATTAAACCAATTTTAGCGACTTTGTCAGAACCAGTAAAATCAAAAGTCAGAAACCAGTAAAATTCACACACGTATTTGTTTAGTGGAATTCACGTGTCAAGGAGGAGAAGCTCGAACTCGATGAACTGAAACGCCAGGTGTCATGTGAAGATGACCGAAGATCAGTTAGTTGAAAGCAGGTGTCAACAAAGATGGGACGTTCGTTTTTTGAGTGGGAAGCAAAAACTTGGATTTTCATAAAAACACTCTACTCTGCATTGCACCCTCTTTTCCAGATTTTGAATAATCTCATTTTCCTTTTCTCCTCCTATCTCTACCTCCTCGTCAATCATCTTCCTCTCTAGAAAACCCTCCCTTCTCTCTCTACCAAAACTCACTCCTTTTTCTTCTCCGATCATCATTCAGAGACCGTAGAAGCACTCCCGGCGTCCCAAGCTTCGATTTGAACCGAACAGCTTCGAGTTCTGAAACTGGTAAGTTCCTTCCCCTCAGCCGTTCGTTCTTTTGTTACATGCAAACCAACTTCTGGTAGCATGCAGGGGTATAGTCTAAGTTATTTTTTGATTTTTATGTTGTTCGGTTTAGTTTGGAGAATTGTTGATCGTTGAGGGTAGAAAGTTGTAGTCGGACGAACCAAGAACCTACATTTAGGACTTCAATCACTATCCAGTAAGGGAAGCTTATCTAATTTAATGTTGTTGTACGCTTGTTGAAAATGAATGCATGTTGCTGAATGGGTGAATGTATGTATCAAGTATGAATACTGAAGTGATGGTTTATATGAATGAAATATGATTGAGTTATGTATGATGTATGAGTTATATGAGATTTATGTGATATGAATTATATGAAGTATGAAAGTTGAATCTGATAGGAATGTATAAAGTTAAGAATGTATATACATACATATATATATACATATATATATATATATATATATATACATATATATATATATATATATATATATATATATATATACATACATATATATATAATATATACATACAGATATCTATATATATCTACAACATATATATATACATATCCATACATAGTATATACATATACATACATATATATCTACATATACATATTTACTATACATACATATATATATACATATATATACATATATCTATATACATGGGATCTAGTCTCCATATCTATTTCTTTATCTATATCTCATATTTCTTTTTTAACTCCCTAATTCTGGTATGAAAGTTTCATATGAAAAGTCACGTTCGTTACTGAATGGTCATTGACCGTTCGTGTTCCCTGATAACCATAGTAAAAAGGGATTCTTTCATTTGAGAGAACCCTAGTTGAGAAGAGCGTCCTCGTGTGGTAATACTATTTTGAAGCGTTTCGCCAAGCATATTTGTAATCCGATACCCTGGGATAAAGTAATAATATATACCCTCTTACTTTAAGACTAATAGTGCTCGGTCTTACAACCTTCGTTTCGTCTAAGTAGTGCTCGGTCTTACACCTAGCGCTCGTACTAAGTAGTGCTCGGTCTTACACCAAGCGCTTGTACTCGTTTCTTGTACAATCTATCTTTAGGAAAACAGTGTTCGTCTAACTTCAATATAATTTTCTTCTCTACCGTGATCGGTAATTTATTGGCATTCGGATTCATCAATGTAAAATCAAATAAGTTAAATATTCATAAGCGTTCGGTTTCTTCCTGAGAATTCTTCTAAGTATGTTTTTGGAATGTCTGGAAGTGTCTGTATCGATTGGTTCCAGCATATGGTCGTAGCCTTTGGCGAGGTCTTTTAAGCGTTCGGTCAGAGTTATCAGGAGTCAGTCATATAATTGATTCACTTTGAAATGAACGTTCGATTCATTCGTTCCTTGTTATAATCTATTACACTCGGTTCTCTCCTCAACCGACAGTAACCTCTCGGTCCTATTCTAATCTGGAACTAGAACCTACTGTCTCGTTTCAAGTGTTCGTCCTCGTTCTGAGTGAGGATTAACGTTCGGTATTTGGTGTCTTTTATAAACTTTTGATCAAAGAGGAAATGGAAATGATTGATAATGAAAGATGAAGCTAAAATGATTAGTAATGAAAGACAAACTTGAGATAATTGATAATGAATATGAAGAAAATACGAGATGAATGGAATGTTGTGAATTTGTACGAGCGTTCCAGGGAGGAACGACTCAGGATTGAGAATTGAGATTGTAAAGTTCCTGACTGTTGGTTTGCTAAGTGCTGGCGTTCTCCTGATGTTTCGTGGGTA